AAGTTGGAGTTCCGTAAGTTGCAGAGGGAAGATCTTACTTTAACACCATTGTTTTTCCAGGCTGAGACTCAACCCGACAGTATTCCTGGGTTCTTCCTAGAGAACGACTTGCTCTACCGCAGATATAGACCCAGTAAACTGAAGGAGGAGGACGATTGGGCCAACATCGAACAACTTGTGATTCCTACCAGCCTGCGGCCCACTATTCTACACCTGGCCCACGGAGCATTCTCCCACTACGGATTCAATAAGACTTACCATGGAATTCGTCAAGACTACTACTGGCCAGGTATGGTAAATAGCGTCAAACAGTACGTAAAACAGTGTCATACATGTCAGATGGCAGGCAAACCGAACATCTCCATTCCCAGAGCGCCACTGATTCCCATACAGGTGCCTGCGGAACCTTTCCACAGACTCATAATAGACTGTGTTGGTCCTTTACCTCGGACCAGTTCAGGTAACGCCTATATCTTAACCATCCTGTGTCCTATCACCAGATTTCCCATAGCAGTTCCAGTGAAGAACATCACGGCTGCTACGGTTGTAAAACATCTATTGAAGATCTTCACTCAATACGGATTTCCCAGGGAGATTCAGAGCGACTGTGGTACCAACTTCACCAGTGATCTCTTCAAAAGGACACTGGAGGAGTTCAACATCAAACAGGTATTGTCCAGCCCCTATCATCCTGCTTCACAGGGTTCTCTTGAACGTAGTCATCAGACTATCAAAGCACTCTTGAAAAAGTTTTGTAGTGAAACCTCTAAGGATTGGGATAAGCAAATCGACCTTATAATGTGTATTTACAGAAGTCTCCCCAATGAGTCCCTAGGAGTATCTCCTTATGAGATGCTCTACGGCCGTAAGTGCCCTACTCCCCTTAAGGCTTTCAAAGACTCTCTCAGAGATGCCACCTTCAGTGAGCATCAGAATGTGCCCCAGTTTCTTCAAAACCTTCAACACATTCTAGAGAGAGTCCACCGTTTTGCCCATGATAATCTATTGAAAGCCCAGGAGAGGATGAAGACTCATTACGACCAGACCAGCAAAGTAAGAACATTCAAGCCGGGAGACTTCGTCCTAGCATACTTCCCTATCCCAGGTTCACCTTTACAAAACAGGTTTTCAGGACCCTACCGTGTCAAAGAGTGCAGAAATAACAACAACTACGTAATAGAGACTCCCGATAGGCGGCGGAAGACCCAGCTGTGCCACGTCATCCTCCTGAAGCAATATAATGGTACTCCTCCCACTGTCCTAATAAATTACTCTACCTTCACAGAATCCTACATCCACAGTGAGACCTTCCCAGCTTCTCCTCCCGAAAGCACTGACAAGGAGTCAGCGCTTTCTAATTCCGAAATCCTTAATGATCTTCCCAAATACTTTCAGGATAATCCTAGTGCACCTCTTGTCAAGATCATCAGAGAACATCAGGAGTTGTTCCGAGATGACCCCCAAGAGTGTAATGTTACCCAGCACGACATCCAACTGCTCCCCGACACCCGGCCGATTCGTCAACCCTTCTACCGAATCAGCCCGAGCAAGAAGGAAGTCATGCGTGCTGAGGTGCAATACCTCTTGGATCATGGACTGGCTACACCTTGTGAGTCCCCCTGGGCCTCACCTTGTATCTTGGTGCCCAAACCCCAAGGTAAGGTGCGGTTATGTACTGACTATCGTAAACTCAACAACATAACTGTCAAGGATGCTTACCCCTTGCCAAGGATAGATGACATCCTTGACGCCATTGGTAGTGCCCAGTACTTGTCCCAAGTGGACTTGCTTAAGGGGTACTATCAAGTGTGTCTAACGGAGCGCGCTAAAGAGATATCTGCCATCATCACTCCTTTTGGACTTTTCAGATATGAACGCCTTCCTTTCGGACTATGTAATGCCCCGGCCACCTTTCAGAGAGCTGTCAACCGTGTCATCCAGGGCTTGGATAACACATACGCCTACCTGGACGATATCGTCGTAGCCTCCAACACCTGGAGTGAACATCTGCTCCAGCTGCGACGTCTGTTCTCCAAGCTCCTGACAGCCGGCTTCACCATCAACCTGGGCAAGTCCACCTTCGCGAAAGGTAAAGTGCGTTATCTGGGTCATGTTATTGGGAGTGGCAGCATAGCTCCGTTAGACTCACACACTCAAGCCATCCAACAGTATCCACAGCCTACCACCAGGAAGCAGCTCCTGCGCTTCCTTGGTCTTGCCTCCTACTACCGTAGGTTTGTGAGGAATTTCAGTACAGTCGCCACACCTCTAATTCTATTAACCAGTCCCAAGCAACGGTATAATTGGACCATGCAGCAAACCGTTGCTTTCGAACAACTCAAATTCCTCCTCTGTTCTAATCCCATTCTCGCCTCACCAGATATCACCAAGCCTTTCGTCCTTCATGTCGACGCCAGTGGTACCGGCGTTGGTGGTGTCCTGATGCAACAAGGAGGCGAGGAGGTTCTACCTGTCAGCTACTACAGCTACAAATTGAAACCACACCAGAGGAACTACAGCACTATTGAAAAGGAGCTACTATCCATCGTCCTGAACCTCCAACACTTCGCTCCGTACCTACAAGGCGCCAGGTCTACAACCATCTTCTCAGACCACAACCCTCTCCGCTTCCTACATCAAGCCCAATTCACCAACCAGCGTCTTCTACGATGGGCTTTGTATTTACAAGATTTCAACCTGGAGATCCGCTATATCAAGGGTTCTGACAACACCATAGCCGATGCCCTCTCCAGAGTTTATGAAGTAGAAGCGACTCCATCTATTACTCCACCACATAACGACGTACTTCCTCCAGAACCGCAGGCTTCGGGGGAGAGTTGTGACGATAATCTCCAAGAGATTGAGCCTGCTCTTCCCTCCAAAAGACGTCGGTATAAACATCTATATAAAACAAGTATGGAAGAAAAATCCAACAACGACAACACCAGCAAGGTTTGCCAGAGCGCAAAACGTATGCAGCCAGGAACACCTGCTCCACCTCAAACCGCCAAACTACCTGTCTTGTCGCCGGCTCCTCGCTGATTGGCTGTGGGTCTGGCTGCAACTGCACTCCACCCACCATACTACTTGATGTCTGGGGCCGCCACGACCTCAGTCTTCAGAATATTCAGTGCTTTCATAAGGTTAACACGTCTTCTTGGTAGACTAAGCTGTGGCTTACATGTACTAAGAGAAGTGATAGCTTGAAGCCAATATTCCGTCACCTATTTACTTGTTATTTGTTCACTTGTCTTAACGTAACTTTTCATTTTATCATTTGATTATTCTTATTATCTTATATATCTTTGATTGATTTTATTATACGAATTTGTATGTCCATTTTATATATATATATATATATATATATATATATATATATATATATATATATATATATATATATATATATATATATATGCAATATATCCAATCACAAGTTCCAATTTACTGTTAATTTTTAAAGATCCTTCTGAAATGAAGAAAAACATAAGCAAAGAAGAGAAAATTCTTGCTAGTCATTGATCTTACTCCTTATGTCATATTCAATATTTTCTTATATATATATATATATATATATATATATATATATATATATATATATATATATATATATATATATATATATATATATATATATATATATATATGTCGTACCTAGTAGCCAGAACGCTCTTCTCAGCCTACTATTCAAGGCCCGATTTGCCTAATAAGCCAAGTTTTCATGAATTAATGTTTTTTCGACTACCTAACCTACCTAACCTGACCTAACCTAACTTTTTCGGCTACCTAACCTAACCTATAAAGATAGGTTAGGTTAGGTTAGGTAGGGTTGGTTAGCTTCGGTGATATATCTACGTTAATTTTAACTCCAATAAAAAAAAATTGACCTCATACATAATGAAATGGGTAGCTTTATCATTTCATAAGAAAAAAATTTGAGAAAATATATTAATTCAGGAAAACTTGGCTTATTTGGCAAATCGGGCCTTGCATAGTAGGCCGAGAAGTGCGTTCTGGCTACTAGGTACGACATATATATATATATATATATATATATATATATATATATATATATATATATATATATATATATATATATATATATATATATTGGTATATATGTGAATATATTGCAAAACCACAGAACTTTATTACAACAAGTATAAATAGGAGTATAGAAGTGTGTATATGAATAAATAATACATTAAGAGTCTCGATGACAGTATTATAGGAGTGAACTATTTGATCCCCTTAAGTCTGTCAATAATAAAGTATTTGTGCAGTGATGTAAAAGTGAGAGGATAAGTCAGAAGGTATCCAGCCTAGGACAATAATAGGACCATTAGGGCTCAGACATTAACGTCAGTGTGTCACACATGACAACGTTCAGGCTGGTTGTCCCCAACGTCAGTGTGTCACACATGACAACGTTCAGGCTGGTTGTCCCCAACGTCAGTGTGTCACATATGACAACGTTCAGGCTGGTTGTCCCCAACGTCAGTGTGACACACAAGACAACGTCCAGGCTGGTTGTCCCCAACGTCAGTGTGTCACATATGACAACGTTCAGGCTGGTTGTCCCCAACGTCAGTGTGACACACAAGACAACGTCCAGGCTGGTTGTCCCCAACGTCAGTGTGTCACACATGACAACGTCCAGGCTGGTTGTCCCCAACGTCGTGAATCGGTAATCATCTCAGACGTGCCGGAGGTGACTGTCAGGACGGTCTCTACACTTTAAATATACAGTTGGGTTATCTCCACCAGGACCCATCCCCAAAATGGGGGATGAGTTACGGTGAATGGGTGGGTAAGTGACTGAATGTGTGTGAGAATATGTGTGTAAATGACAGTGAATGATTGAGTGAGAGTGAGTGAGTGAGTGAGTGAGTGAGTGAGTGAGTGAGTGAGTGAGTGAGAGTGAGTGAGTGAGTGAGTGAGTGAGCCTGCAGGAGACAACAAGGTGGGTAGATAGTACAAGCCTCAGTATCACCACATACCTAACCAATACTCTGTGCAGGCGCTACCGAAGCCATACTTGTAGGCCACCCAGTCTCTTCTGAAGTTCTCCGCAGGATTAACTCTATTGTCTCTCTGGAGGAACACCGTCCATCCTCCTGAAGAACAAGTGATTGTTAAGTTCAAAATTACACATAACATCTAAGAACTTTCTAAACTACTTTGTTTATATTGTTATTATTATAAGGAACAATTCTGTAACATTTTAATTAATATTGAAGTACGATAATTTACGTCTCTTCTTCTGTTCTAACAAACAACGGTAATTTGGACAATGTTTAATTTTCATATTAGGCACTGTTAAAGCCGCAAGTGTTTCCCATGGTGGGTGATAGTGGTGCTGGTAGTGTCACCATGGTGGGTGATAGTGGTGCTGGTAGTGTCACCAGTGTTTCCCATGGTGGGTGATAGTGGTGCTGGTAGTGTCACCATGGTGGGTGATAGTGGTGCTGGTAGTGTCACCATGGTGGGTGATAGTGGTGCTGGTAGTGTCACCATGGTGGGTGATAGTGGTGCTGGTAGTGTCACCATGGTGGGTGATAGTGGTGCTGGTAGTGTCAGTGTTTCCCATGGTGGGTGATAGTGGTGCTGGTAGTGTCACCATGGTGGGTGATAGTGGTGCTGGTAGTGTCACCATGGTGGGTGATAGTGGTGCTGGTAGTGTCACCATGGTGGGTGATAGTGGTGCTGGTAGTGTCACCAGTGTTTCCCATGGTGGGTGATAGTGGTGCTGGTAGTGTCACCATGGTGGGTGATAGTGGTGCTGGTAGTGTCACCATGGTGGGTGATAGTGGTGCTGGTAGTGTCACCAGTGTTTCCCATGGTGGGTGATAGTGGTGCTGGTAGTGTCACCAGTGTTTCCCATGGTGGGTGATAGTGGTGCTGGTAGTGTCACCATGGTGGGTGATAGTGGTGCTGGTAGTGTCACCATGGTGGGTGATAGTGGTGCTGGTAGTGTCACCATGGTGGGTGATAGTGGTGCTGGTAGTGTCACCAGTGTTTCCCATGGTGGGTGATAGTGGTGCTGGTAGTGTCACCATGGTGGGTGATAGTGGTGCTGGTAGTGTCACCATGGTGGGTGATAGTGGTGCTGGTAGTGTCACCATGGTGGGTGATAGTGGTGCTGGTAGTGTCACCATGGTGGGTGATAGTGGTGCTGGTAGTGTCACCATGGTGGGTGATAGTGGTGCTGGTAGTGTCACCATGGTGGGTGATAGTGGTGCTGGTAGTGTCACCATGGTGGGTGATAGTGGTGCTGGTAGTGTCACCATGGTGGGTGATAGTGGTGCTGGTAGTGTCACCATGGTGGGTGATAGTGGTGCTGGTAGTGTCACCATGGTGGGTGATAGTGGTGTGGTAGTGTCACCATGGTGGGTGATAGTGGTGCTGGTAGTGTCACCATGGTGGGTGATAGTGGTGCTGGTAGTGTCACCATGGTGGGTGATAGTGGTGCTGGTAGTGTCACCATGGTGGGTGATAGTGGTGCTGGTAGTGTCACCATGGTGGGTGATAGTGGTGCTGGTAGTGTCACCATGGTGGGTGATAGTGGTGCTGGTAGTGTCACCATGGTGGGTGATAGTGGTGCTGGTGGGTGATAGTGGTGCTGGTAGTGTCACCAGTGTCCCATGGTGGGTGATAGTGGTGCTGGTAGTGTCACCAGTGGTGGGTGATAGTGGTGCTGGTAGTGTCACCATGGTGGGTGATAGTGGTGCTGGTAGTGTCACCATGGTGGGTGATAGTGGTGCTAGTGTAGTGTCACCATGGTGGGTGATAGTGGTGCTGGTAGTGTCACCATGGTGGGTGATAGTGGTGCTGGTAGTGTCACCATGGTGGGTGATAGTGGTGCTGGTAGTGTCACCATGGTGGGTGATAGTGGTGCTGGTAGTGTCACCATGGTGGGTGATAGTGGTGCTGGTAGTGTCAGTGGTGCTGGTAGTGTCACCATGGTGGGTGATAGTGGTGCTGGTAGTGTCACCATGGTGGGTGATAGTGGTGCTGGTAGTGTCACCATGGTGGGTGATAGTGGTGCTGGTAGTGTCACCATGGTGGGTGATAGTGGTGCTGGTAGTGTCACCATGGTGGGTGATAGTGGTGCTGGTAGTGTCACCATGGTGGGTGATAGTGGTGCTGGTAGTGTCACCATGGTGGGTGATAGTGGTGCTGGTAGTGTCACCATGGTGGGTGATAGTGGTGCTGGTAGTGTCACCATGGTGGGTGATAGTGGTGCTGGTAGTGTCACCATGGTGGGTGATAGTGGTGCTGGTAGTGTCACCATGGTGGGTGATAGTGGTGCTGGTAGTGTCACCAGTGGTGCTGGTAGTGTCACCATGGTGGGTGATAGTGGTGCTGGTAGTGTCACCATGGTGGGTGATAGTGGTGCTGGTAGTGTCACCATGGTGGGTGATAGTGGTGCTGGTAGTGTCACCATGGTGGGTGATAGTGGTGCTGGTAGTGTCACCATGGTGGGTGATAGTGGTGCTGGTAGTGTCACCATGGTGGGTGATAGTGGTGCTGGTAGTGTCACCATGGTGGGTGATAGTGGTGCTGGTAGTGTCACCATGGTGGGTGATAGTGGTGCTGGTAGTGTCACCATGGTGGGTGATAGTGGTGCTGGTAGTGTCACCATGGTGGGTGATAGTGGTGCTGGTAGTGTCACCATGATAGTGGTGTGTAGTGTCACCATGGTGGGTGATAGTGGTGCTGGTAGTGTCATGATAGTGGTGCTGGTAGTGTCACCATGGTGTGATAGTGGTGCATGGTGGGTGATAGTGGTGCTGGTAGTGTCACCATGGTGGGTGATAGTGGTGCTGGTAGTGTCACCTACGCTTTTGGTCAGAGATCATAATATTTACCCAGGTAGGGAGTTTACCATTCTTTTCCAGAGCACAAAAAATTGTATCTCTGTAAGTATTATTTAGTCTTAGTAGAACACCCCTTTCTCTTATCCTCGTCATTTATAGAATGCCGAGTATACTAGTCCCTACATTCCTTTGTACTACCTCGAAACAATTTTGTTTCGCTATTCATGATTTTATTAATCAATTTAATTCTTGTAATCTTTCCTTATCCTAATCATTAATTCCACACAGGATAGTTTAAAGTTGCCAGTCTTGCCACGTCACTTATTCACAATGTTCAGACTTGCTGCCTTCCTCGCCAGTCCAGAGGAAGAGCTTGGTACCCTTATTCGGGCTACCAGAGCCGAATTGATGACACTTACCACTGAATACTCCCTCCGCATGATGCCACTAAATCTGAACTCCATAATTAATTTTAGAGCACCTTTAGAAAACGACATAATCACTCCAGAGATACGTGAACAACATCATACTGCAGATAACACCTTGGCAGCCATGAAGTTGAAGATCGAGTTAGCCAACATAGAGCGCGAACGTCAGAGGGAAACTCTCAAGGTAAAAGAACGGGAAGCTAGAGAGAACAAGCTGCCCTCCAGAGGGAATAAGCTGAACTCCAACGTGAACATGAGAAGGAACAACTTCAACTCCTAGAACAACGAGCTGCATTGGAACGTGAACGTGAGAGGGAACAAGTTGGCCTACAACATGAACGTGACCAAGAGAGACTAGAGCTCCGACGTAAATGTCGATACGTCTCAGATCCCATTTGACAAGTAGAGCTGCCTTGACTCTCAGCTCTCTGGCTACTGAGACTGACTACTATGTATTGAAGGCAGTGCTTGATGCCTACCTTCTATCAGTAGAGTGTTACAGACGTAGATTTAGAAATTACAACAAATCTAGTGCTACTACTACTTATTTAGAATTCGCCCAAAATAAGACAAGATGTCTAAAGAAGTGGCTGGTATCAGCTCAAATCACCATCTTTGCAGATCTCCTTAACCTCATCTTGATGGAAGAATTCCTTCGCCGTGTTCCAACTCCTATACGTCTTTACCTTAAAGACAAAGGAGAGACCAACCTTACTAAGTGTGCACAGCTGGCTGACACTTAGAGCCTAATTCACCGATCGTCATCAGACACACCTCCTGGTAAACCGTTTTGGTCAGGCATGCAAAAGTGAGTACTGGTGATGTGAACTACTCGCTTTATTGCAGGTACTGTAAAGTGTATGGGCATACCATAGAAAATTGTCCCAGTCCTCGCTGTAAATCCAACAGTGAGGCCCACAAGTCCAAACCACCTCCTCCTAAAACTCATAAACTTGTAATGAATATCCATTATCCAGCCTCTGTCTTTCTTTTCTCTTCCACAGACACCTATACCTTGGAACTGTCTTTGCCAGCGGTGGAAATTAGGAGGGAAGGATCCAAGTGAATATCAAGGGACACAGCTGCTCTTCAATCTATACTCCCTAAAGCAACTGCACCCAACGTCACCTACATTGGAGAAACTGTCCTCATCACTGACCTCACTGCAACCACTCCATATACCCACTCGTTAGAATCCACCAGGATTGTTCGTTTGTTCATGGTGAAGTCCAAGTCGCCATCAGGGAGAAACCATTCCTCCATGCCAGGAGTTCAACTTCTCCTGGGCAATGACTCGGCAGAAAATCAAGAACCCACGAACCTTATCTTCAGTGACAAACCACCTGTATGTGTCTTTTCCATGGGAAATCCTGTTATGAAATACGTTGCAGAGCACGTTCAACCGACCAACAATTCTGAGGACATCTCCCAACCAATCATGGTGACGACGCATGCACAAGCTGATCGACCGCAACCAGCCGCTCCAGCTGTCCCTCAAGATTCTCAGGGCCTCCCACCAAATCTCAACCTGTTGAAGGTCCATAAGTTGCAGAAAGAAGATATATACCTAACACCTTGATTATTTCAGGACCAGACACACTCAGATTCTATCCCTGGGTTTTTCTTTGATAACCATATCCTATACCTCAGATATAGACCCAGTAAGTTAAAGGAGGACGACGATTGGGCTAACGTCAACCAGCTGGTAGTCTCTACTAGCCAACGGCCAGAGATCATGTGTCTGGCCCATGGCCCTCTCTCACACTATGGCCTCAACAAGACTTACAACGCCCTGAAACAAGACTACTACTGGCCAGGTATGGTTCGTGACGTCAAGACCTTTGTGAATACCTGCCACACGTGTCAGAC